ACACACACACACACACACACACACACACACACACACACACACACACACACATACCTGGCCAAGGAGACAGCCTGGTGAGTGGGGCTCTTATAGTACCAGAATCAAATACAGAACAGGGTGTGGACCTCCACTAAGGAAGGAAAGTAGTGGGCAGGAGAGGGCAACATCTGGTGGAAAGAGGTCATCTCCTTGTGCCCAGGACAGCCTATCGGTGAGCAGAGGGGGCCTAGCAGATTCACCCATCCTAGTATGACATCATGTGTGTAGATAAAACTTCTTTTATTAAACAGGAAATTTCTACTGGACTTTTAGACAGGATGGAGGTGGGAATCTTTTCCTTCATGTACTGACTTTCAGTTTCCCTTAGCTCAAAATAACTCCCATGCTAAAGGGGTATATTTTGGAGTGGCGCATTCTGGGACTTTTCACCCTTTTTTAAGTTGCATTTTACATTGTCTAGAGGCTTCCCATATTTCCTGCTTGTAGTTTTTTCTCCACCTGCAAAGTCAAAAATGAACCAGGTTTTATTTTACCCAACTTCTCTGGTATTTCTTTGTCGATTGTTGCTGGGAATGAGGGCTTCTTTGATTACATTGTGCTCACTTGATAATCTGGGATAATCTATTATTAAGTCATTTAACTGATACTTTAGTTCCATCTGCAACCTCAAAGTTTACCAGTTGTTCAATCCAACATGTTTATGGGCCCGGGGGGTTAGAATGCTGAAACCTCAGGGTTGGTGGCTCTGCTTCGCACTTCTGCAAAGCCCATGAACATTTGTCACCTGTGTTCCTTTCCATGTCTGGTCTGACTTACGTTCTTCCATTTGTCATGCTTATGGAGGGGCCTCACCATACAGTGCCCTGGTCTAAAGTGGGACTTATTTTTATCTTTTATACTTCTCATGTTCTACCTTCAGAAAATGATTTATTGAGTTCCACGTGTTTGAGTGCTCCAGCCTTAGTGCTCCAATGACTTCTTCAGCCTTTGTGACAGGATCCTAGAGGGAACTTGCTGTCTGTACATCCTATTCTCAGAGACTGAGTACTGAGGCAGTTACAAGGCCTTATCTTTCTAATACATGACCTTGATACTACTTTCAGTTAAGAGAGAGAGAGAAAACAAAACAAAACAAAACAAAACAAAACAAAACAAAACCTCAAAACAAAACACAAGAGGCTCTGTGGCTTTGATAGATGTAAGTGAATAATTTTCATCTGAGTCCTAAAGGAAGATATGGGATGAACAAAGAATCTTTGTTGTTCCTTGATCATGTGCCGGGGTCTGGCCCCAGATGAGGTCAGGACCTGAAGAAGGTTGGATGCAACAGTGGCAGAGGAGGAATGAGTCAGGCATGGGGATTGGGAAGAGTTTTACATCTGACTGACTGGCAGTCCGGGTGCTTCTTTATTTATACAGAAATCAGTAGGTAGGGATAGACGCATATTGTTCCATCATGTAACTTTTTTCCATGGACATATGTTATAACTCCCGCTTGGTTACAAGTTTAGTCATTATTGATAAACCATGACAGAGCAGAGTTATTCTTTGCAATCATTTTCCCTCATCAGTCCCACAACCCAGCTTTTAACAATATTGCAGTTTCTTTTTTTTTTTTTTTTTGTATTTTATTTTTTTCTTATCACTTACATTTTATTAACTCTGTACCCCAGCCATGTCCCGATCCCTCATTCCCTCCCAGTCCCTCCCTCCCTCCCTCATCTCCACCGTGCCCCTTGCCAAGCCCACTGATAGGGGGGACCTCCTCCCCATTCATCCGATCCTGTTTTAT